TTCTTACTTAAGGTAATGAGCACAGAAAAAATATTTTCAAAATCTAAATCCTTATTGTGGAATTCAGCATACTTGGGAAAATGCAGACATACTTGCCTTATTCTTAGTTCCATTATTCTGTCTTGTACTCATTTGCATGAGAATAGAAGCCTTTCTAATAGTCATCGAGTAACAAGTAATACCTTACAGTTATATATCCATCACTTTTTTAAAAGTTCTTTCATATATATGATGTTTAATACATTAATCACATGAGGGAGGCGATGTATTCTGTCCATTTTGTATTTGAAGAATCACGTTGTGACATCCCCCAAATATCATGTTTAGTGATGGTATTTGTCCATTCAACTCTTAGATCAGTGCTTTAAAAAAAATCTCATTAGGGATGCCTAGAACATAGGCTCAGTCTACTACGCGTGAATTAGTTGATATGCGTTATTCTTCTTTGTTGGTGTTATCTCACGTTTGTTCTTTAATTATAACATTTAAGAGAGAGGTCCTGTGCATGCATTTTTAGGACCCATAGTAGAACTTATTGAAATGACCATTTTTTTCCCCTAAATAAATTTTTTGAGAGATTATAGATACAATTACTGAAAGGTTTTGGAATGCCTCTTAACCTTCAGAGCCTGTTTCACATTCCTGTTACTCTTCATTGTTGGCAAATTTTCTTTTTTTGAGTGCGGATTTATTTTAGGGATATAATGAAAAGTCATGTACAGCCAAGTTTGATGAATAAAGTAAATGAATAAGTTAGCCACTACAGTTGGTACAAAATTTTTAACTTGTCATAATAAGGTAATGACACTATAGATAGAGAAAAGGTTTTGAGTAATGAGTTACAAATAATGAAGTAATAACTATATAGCCTTCCTAAGTGATTACTTTGAAGGTTTATAGTTAATTGATACGTAGGTTCTGATACGGTGCTGTCTGCTTTAAAATCTCATTTACGTAATATGTATGTTTTGATGGAAATTTAAAAATGTACAGGTAGATCCTTGCAACAAGTGAGTATGGATGTCTTTGTAAGGGCCAGAGTAACTCCAGGATCGATAACCAGTATTTCTCTTACTGTTGGATGGAATGATGTAGGGTCTCTTTTACCTCTGTAATTCTGTAACAGGTAGATTTATGACATGACAACTCTATCCTTTTATGAAGTTTACTTTTTCTGTAATTATGCATTGTAAAAACAGCATGGGGACAGTGTCTGACATCCTCCAACCTCACAAGGGGGAAGGAAAACCAAGATCAATAGCGCAAGGCTATTGACTCCCATGAGACGGAGGCCAGACAAGCCACCTCTCTCCGCCATCTTCACCAATTCTGACAGCAACCGTCCCTCCCACAGCTCACTCTACTGTGTTCCGTAATTCATTGCAGTGGCCATACAGAACTCAAAGACCATACTCACAATTATGGGATTTATTATAAAGGAAATAACAGTTTCAGTTCAGGCTCAAGAATACTCAAGATACAGTTCTTTGATCAGGACAGCTTCTTTCCAACTGTGCTCACAGGCACACCTCTCCTTGGCCCTAGGCCTCTCTCCAAAGGCACTCAGCTTTCTCTCTCGGTGGGCTGGGAAGCCCACCGCACCGTCTCCTGCAGCTGGGTCTCGCCTACACCACTTCTCACCATCTTCAGGGTTACAGCTTGTGCTCTCTCTATCTCTCTCTGTCTTCTGAATCCAGGAGCTTCTCAACATAGGGATCCTAGGTCCAAAGAACATGCTCTCCGCTCCTGACTGTTCTTCCTTGGTGGTGGTAGAATCCTCCTCTCTGCTCTGGAATTGGCTCTCTTTTAAGGCAGAACTGACCAGTCCCCTTGGTGGGCCACGATTACCTTATCACACAGTCCCACCCAGTCACCTGGGTGGGAGTTACAGGACGATTACTAGAAGGACCACACACAAAAGTAATCAGTCGTACCACATGCATGCATAGATTTCAACTGTAATGTATTTCAGTTCAGTTGAATGCTTCGTTTAACCATTTTACATGTTATTTCAGTTCTTCAGCTAGTGAAATTACCTTTTCAAATACTGTTCACTTACTATAAATTCACTTTGATACAAATGTTGATGAAATTCTGAAAAATAATTTTGGGGTCTTGAATAAAGGAAAAAGAACCTGTGTGAAGAAGTTTTAAGAAATACAGATGATTACTTAGCAAATGTGATAATGGTTAAAGACTACATTGAAGAGAAAAAAAATGATTTGGACGCAGCCGTGAAGATAGCAAGAGAGTTAAAATCAGCACCTTCTCTAAGGACATATTGTGACCTGAATCAGGTAATTGAGTTATTTCTGTGGTATTTATTTCATTGTACATGCTTTGGAACATGATATTTAAGACTTAACACAGAAGTACTTAATTCTTCAGATTATCCTAACTTATTAACATCAATTTATGTTCCTAGGTGTTTGAATTTTAAGACAAACATTAAATTTGTTTAGACTTTATTATTATTTACCACTTAGGGAATGGTGCAATAAAATCTTTATAACACATGATCTGAGAACAAGTAGGATGACATTGAGTCAAAAGTTGATGTGCTCCTGGGACACCCGAATTAAAAATGAGAACAAATAAGAGTAGTAAACTAAATGGAATTCCATTTTCTTCCCATAAACAATTTAGGTATGACTGTCAGCTCCTGACTTAAAAATTTAATTCAAGGTTCCATTCAGGTTTTATTCTTTCTTTCCCCAAAAAATGTACAGGTCAAAAGACAAAGTGCTTCAGCTGTCTCCTACCATCTGATTATGTGCCTAGGGGATAGAGTTGGTCAAAAATAGAAACTTCCAAGATAGTTTGGCGGGACAGGGTTAGCCATGGATCCTCTTTTGCTCATGTCAGCCTTGCCCCTAAAAGTATAGATCCTGCTTTACTCACTTTTAAATCCTTAGGACCTTTTTTCCCATAGATAATCAAATGTTTTGACTGAACTGAAGTACAGAATAGAAGCCATTGGTTTACCTAACTCCGAAGTCTGTAAATTTAAATGAAAGGAGAATATATTACCATCGCATTTGGTCAGGCCTCCCTCCAACTGCAGTTCTAAAACAGTAATCATCATTTCCTACGTATTACACATGAGACACAAAAAAAAAAAAAAAAAAAATAGAAAACAAACACCAAGCCTGCTGCCATTGAGTCGATTCCAATGCATAGCGACGTTACAGGACAGAGTAGAACTACCCCATAGGGTTTCCAAGGAGTGGCTGGTGATTTGAACTGAGGCACTAGGAAGTGAAAAAAATGATAAGATTTGTTCTTTACCCTACTAAAGCCTGTTAAGACTGGAAAAAAAAAGGAGACAGACATTTGAAGATAGCAAGGAAGTATAAAATGAATAGAATGATTCATTTCTCTGATTGTGTATCTATATATGCATTAGCTAGTCTTTTTTTGTTTGTTTTTGTTATCTGTAATACATATCTCCAAAAGATTTGAAACTCTTTTAGGGAAAAAAATACTATATTAAACACTTATTTGCATTCCTTTGAATACCTAAAAATCAAGCCTTAAACACATTAATTAGTGACATACCTAAAGGTTTATAGCGTCCCTTCTAAAATCTCACTGTTTCAGCAATATTTATGACAATAGAAAATTCACACATGAATGACATTTTTCTTTTGGTTCTAGATTATCCGAACTTTGAAGTTAACATATGACAGTGAACTGTCAGAAGTTAGTTCTCTAAAACTAAGGAGCTCTCCCAGGTGAGTACGTTATAATTCAGGAAGACATAACTATTAAGTATAAAAATGTATTAGAGCCTAAATTTCTTAAAATAGCAAGCAATTAAAAATAGAAAATGCAGGTCACAAATGTTTTCCAAATTAGCAACCAAATAAGTATAATTTATGTTAAATTAGAAAGTTATTTAAATGTTTTTTTGTCTTTTAAATTACAATTATTTTAATGTCAGCACCTCATTTTTATTTAGAGAATAACTAAGAACATTTACTCATATGCTAATGTTTTATTTTAGGTTGAATATGAATTGCAGTGAGATCATCTGTATGTTCAACAATATTGGGAAAATTGAATTTGAGGACTCAAGAAAGTAAGTATTAAAAGAATGGCAACCTGCTTGATCAAATAGTGTCACAGGGTCTGAGTTATCTAATAGACAGAAGAATTGATTTCTAGTGTAGTATGATTCAAAAGCTGAAAAATAATTTAAAGGGCAAAACGGTTTTTGTCAGTTAAGTTCTGCGTACGGTATTTAGAATTTAAAAGACCTAAAAGGGATCAGTATTTAATGATATATTTGTCAAAGTTATCATTGAGATTCATTCAGTCAGCAAGCATTGAATACTGATTTTGTGCTAGGTACTCATACCCTAGATATTGCGATATATGTCTGTAAAAACTGCGAGGAGGCGGTGGCTGACGTCATCTAACTTCACAAGGGGGGAAGGAGAATCAAGATCAACAGCCTAAGGCTGATTCCTATGAGGCAGAGGTCAGACATGCCTCCTCTCTCCACCATCCTTACCAATTTTGATACCAACTGTCCTTCCTAGCAGCACTCTCTACTTCTGGGTTTGGTAATTCATTGCAGTGGCCACATAGAACTCACAGACAGCACTCATGATTGTGAGGTTTATCAAGGAAGTAACAAGTTACAATTCAGGTTCAGGAATGCTCTGGATACAGTTCTTCCATCAAGATAGCTTTTTCCCACCCATGCCACAGGCATGCCTCTCTGGTCTCTCTACCTCTGTCCAAAGATACCCAGCTTTCTCACTCCATGGGCTGGGAAGTCTACTGCACCATCTCCTGCCGGCCTTTCCTGTCACGGTTTCCCTGCCACTGCTTCTGTCTGTCTTCAGTGTTACAGCTGTCTGTCTTCTGGATCCAGGAGCTTCTGAGCGCAGGGATCCCTGGTCTAAAGGATGTGCTAGGTCTTCTTCCTTGGTGGTGGTGGGATCCTCTCCTTCCTGCCGCTGGGGTGGCTCATTTCAAGCCCAGCGGGATGGCAAAACGAGAATCCCTTTGGTGGGCCACAAATACCCTATCACACAGTTCTCCCCAATCACTTGGGTGGGAGTTACAAGACCATGGCTAGAAAGGCCACACAAAAGTGATCCATCGCACCACGATGTCAAAGATATTACAACAAGTAGAGGAAAACAAGCATGTAAACAATCAAGTGCATAATTGCTGTGATAGTAGTATGTACAGAATTTAGTGAAGGTACAAAGGGAGGGAATGGTCAGTTCTTTGGGAAATACGAGGTTTAGAAAAATCTTTGTAGAAAAGATTTTACTTTCTCTTGAAAAATGAATAGCAATTTGAAAGGAGGACAAAAAGAGGTAGGTATCTTAGCAGAAAGAAAGTTATGGGCAGTGAAATAGCATGCAATATTCGAAGAACTGTGTATTTATAACTTTGTGTATATTTTATATGCTATGCAATAAGTTTGAACTTTATTTTCTAGACCAGTGCTGTCCAGTATGGTAGCTACTAGCCATATGTGGCTATTTAAGTATAAATTAATTAAAGCTAAATAAAATTAAAAGTTCAGTTCCTTGGTTGCACTAGCCGCATTTCAGGTGTTTCGTAGTCATTTGTGACTAGTGCCTACCACAGGGATAATGCAGCACATTTCCATCATCACAGAAAGTTATATTGGATAACAATCCTCTAGACAGTAGAAAACCACTAAAAGGTTTTAAGTGTGAAAGTAAATATAATTAGATTGCATTTTTAAAAAATAACTCTGGTGGCTATTTAGAGGATTACTTGCCGAAGTATGAGACTGGAGATTGAATAGTCTCGTCAAATGATGAGAACTCAAATTTATATAGTGGTGCTGGAGAGGGACTAGGAATGGATATTACAAAAGTTAAATAGGACAAATTGATAAACCTTAGTGACTGAGTATGAAGAGTGAGAAAAAGGGGATCATCATCAATGATTTATAGGGCTGGCTTTGGTGATTAAGTTGATGGATTGGGAATACAGGAGGAAAATTTTGGAGGGGAAGATAGTAGATACATTGAGTTCCAGGTGTTTACCAGATGTCTGGGGAGAAATTTACAGAGCGCAGCTGGCTGTATGTGCTGAAAATTAAGAAGTTTTCTTGGACTTGGTATCTGAGTTTAGGAATAGACAGAATATAGATGTTGTAGAAACCCAAACGGAAAATAAGTTCTTTCACTTTAGATGCTGTATGTCCTGGGGAAGTCGTCCCCAAGAAGCATCACATTCATTACCTTGGTGAACTAATCAGATTCTTGCAAGCTCAGAAACACACATGAACGGATCCAGTCTAAGCCAGTGTTATGGATTAAATTGTGTCCCCCAGAAATGGGTATCAACTTGGCTAGGCCATGATTCCCAGTATTGTGTGGTCGTCCACCATGTCCACCATTTTGTGATCTGATGTGATTTTCCTAGGTATTGTAAATTCTAACTTTATGATGTTGATGCGGCAGGATTAGAGGCAATTATGTTAATGAGGCAGGACTCAATCTACAGGATTAGTTGTATGTTGAGTCAGTCTCTTTTGAGATATAAAAGAGAGAATCGAGCAGAGAGGAGAGGGACCTCATGCCACCAAGAATGAAGAACCAGAAGGGGAGTGTGTCCTTTGGACCCAGGGTCCCCATGCTGAGAAGCTTCTAGACCCAAGGGAGAATTGATGACGTGGACCTTCCCCCAGAGCCAACAGAGAGAGAAAGCCTTCTCCTGGAGCTGGTACCCTGAATTTGGACTTCTAGCCTCCTAGACTGTGGGAGAGTAAATTTCTATTTGTTAAAGCCATCCACTTGTGCTATTTCTGTTATTGCAGCACTAGATAACTAAGACAGCCAGGTAACTGACATAAATCAAGTTCACAAAACTGATGGTAGTCAGAATGCTAGTTTATCAACTTGTTGTTATTAGGTGCGGTCAAGCTGGTTTTGACTCATAGCAACCCCATGTGACAGAATCAAACTTCCCAATAGGGTTTTCTAGGCTTTAATCTTTACAGGAGCAGATCTCCAGTTTACTGGGAAAATATAACTAATGCCACACAGACTAGAATGTTATGTTGGCACTCTTTTCAGTACACATAGACATGAGAAGTTTGCTTTGTTTGCAACCTTGTTTGGAATTAAGGTAATTAGATGAATGAAATAGCTTAACCACATTAGTCTGAACTAGCCCATCATAGGCCTCTCTCCAGCACAAAGTGGAGACCTTGCCAGAGGACTGCAGTGCTAGTCCTTTGGCTCCAGTCATCTTCCCCAAGACAGTGCTTGGATGAACGCGGCCTCATATTTGCCTCTGTGACCTTACTATTTGTGTTTCCATGGATAATTAACAACCTTTCCAATCAATCCCCACATGTCTGTCAGTTGTACTGTGGTGGCTTGCATGTTGTGTTGCTGTGATGCTGGAAGCTATGCCACCAGTATTCTTTTAGATATCTTTATAACTTCAATATGGTTACTCTCAAATATTGTAAGACTAAAAGCTGTTCTGCCTCTTTAATAGTCTGTACTAATTTTGTATTGATTTTTAAATTTAACTCTGAGGTCAGTCTTAAATTTTTTTCCTAGTTTTTAGGGGAAGTGTCACTGTAACCTGTCTCTACTGATTATTGTTATTAGTTGCCATCGAGTGGATTCTGACCCCTCACGACCCCATGTGTTGCAGAGTAGAACTACTCCATAGGGTTTTCTTGGCTGTGATCTTAATGGAAGCATATCGCCGGGCCTTTTCTTCCATGGTAGTGCTGGGTGGGTTCAAACCACTGATCTTTATGTTAACAGTGGACAGGTGGTAATTAAACCACAGGTTTTCCCACAAGAGCAGGTGTGGAAGTAATTCAAGGACAGTACCCTGGAAAATATTTAAATTTAGGCAGGAAAAGTGTAACCAAAACAGAACAAAACTGACAAGGAGCAAACAGAGGTTGAAGAAGAAATAGGAATGTGGTATTCTAGACGTCAGAGGAGAGGTTTGTGAGACTGGACTTGGATAACAGTGTTAAATATCTCAGTAAGGTCAAATAAGAGATGTTCTGAAAAGAGATGCTTGGTTTGCAAGGTTGTATACACGTGTCTCTCAGAAGATGTTTGAACCTTTATTCAACATATATTGATGTTACTTGTGTTAAATGCCTGACCTTTGGTAGAAGAGACAGATAAGCATGTGTGTTTTAGTTATCTAGTGCTGCTGTAACAGAAATAGCACAGGTGGATGGCTTTAACAAAGAGAAATTTATTTCCTTACAGTAAAGTAGGCTAAAAGTCCAAATTCAGGGCATCACCTCCAGGGGAAGGCTTTCTGTCTCTGTCAGCTCTGGAGAAAGGTACTTCTCATCAATCTTCCACTGGTCTAGGAGCTTCTCTGCACAGGAACCCTGGGTCCAAAGGACGTGTTCTGCTCCTGACACTGCTGTTTTGGTGGTATGAGGTCCCCCCCTCATTCACATCATAGAAGCAGGATTTACAGCACATGGGAAAATCACATCAGATGACAAAATGGTGGACAATCACACGATGCTGGGAATCATGGCCTAGCCAAATTGATACACGTTTTTGGGGGACACAGTTCAATCCGTGATATGAAAAGAGATGTTTGGTTTGCAAGGTTATGTACAAATGTGTCTCTCAGAAGTTGTCTGAACCTTTATTCAACATATATTAATGTTACTTAGGTTAAATGCCTGACCTCCGTTCCAAGAGACAGCTAAGCATGTGTCATTGCTAAATCCGGTTGACTTTGTTGGTTAATTTCTGAAATAGTTTATTAAACAATGATCTGTGAAGAAGCTAAGTTCATCATGGCTTAACTAAAATACAAGCTTTATGAGACTTAATCTCATTTCTTTCACAGAATTTCTGTTCTTGTAGATTTGATGGCCTAAATCTGTCTGGATATGTGGAGAAGATAGAAAAATAGGGAGTACAGTGAATAATCACTGGATTAGTGGCTTGAATTATCAGACCCAGCAGATTCAGATTAATGATTATTATTAGCCTGGGTGGAGGTTTCTAGTGATTTTTTCAGGGTTGTACCTTTGACTGTGAATTAAAAGAAGAAATAATATAATTTAAACATAATTTCAAATCAAATACCTAAGCCAAATCAAAACGACTTCATTTGAAAACCTGTATCCACTGTTCTTTTACAATCCGCTCCCTGTTACGTTAACTAAGTTTTCTTCAGCTTCTCGTTGATGAAACTCTTATTGATCTTTTAAATCCCTGGGACCTGCTTGGGGCTGGGTATGGGCAGAGGTTTCTTTTTGGGTGATGAAAATGTTCTAAAATTGGATTGTGGTGATGGTTGCACAACTTTGTAAATTTAGTAAAAAGTATTGAATGTTATGGTATGTAAATTATATATCAGTGAAACTGGTTAAAAAATACCCCTGGGGCACGTGGACAGCTTTATCCCTTTTGTATGTGTCATAATATTAACTATAGTGTGGGAAATAAATGGCTTGAAGGTACATGTAAAGAATGTGTAAAATGATTTAAAGTAGTCATGTGAAAAATCATGAACATGCTTCTATATTTTTAAATAGATTTTATCCCCAAGAAGATGAAATTGGACAGAATATTCAAAGGAAGTACAATAATAAAAAGGAATTTTCTTGTCATGATACATACCTATCACTAGAAGAGAGAAAGTTGGACGTATCTGTCCTAACTAATGAAGCATCACCAACCCCTTTACAATGTGAAACCAATGATGTGCGTTTAGAAGCAAAACACTTCCAGCCGAAGAAAGAAGTTGTCGCTAAAACCTTTGCCGCTCTACCACAAGTAGGATCTAGTCCTGATGTGATAATTGAAGAAATTATTGAAGAGAACCTGGAAAGTGAGTGAAAATATAAAAGCAGCAAAAAATTAAAAAAAAAAAAAACTTGTGTCTGTAATTCAAAACAGTTTGTACCTTTTTGTCCTTGTACTTAACAGAAACATATTGCTGTTACAATCTTCTATCTCACTATGAATTAAAACCTGTTCATTCCATGCCCCTACGTTCACATTTTCCAAAGTTACGATAATTTTTATTTTTAATGCTGCAGTATAGCTAACCTCTGAGGTGTAATTTCAGCATTTGGTTTAATTAGGATAGTTGACTTTTGAGTGTTCCACATAATAAACCTTACATAAAAGATGTGTATATAAGTAGATGAGAGAGATGTGATTTGTGGAAGCAGTTTCATCACTTTGTCCTTGAATTTAAGAATAACTTCTCTTAAGTTTTTGTTCTGAGGTTTAATCTGCTATGAAATTAACGATTGTTTAAGTGTTATATCATCTATTATATAACATTTAAATGTATCACAGTTATTTGATTAGATTTCCAGTGTTGGTATTAACCGTTAGCATGGGAGTAAGATACTACCGTATATAACTTTATACCACCAGTCTTCTTTAGGACTATTTTCAAGATTGGTTTTAATTTTTCCTCTTCTTTTTTTTAATTGGACTCTCCATAATGACATTTTAACTACAAAAAAAGTACACACACTTTTTTCTCATTTCCACTGTATTATCACTGGTATCTCAGTGAATTAAGATAACTCATCATGAGTTTACCTTCTGATATAAAGTGTTTTCACATTGTAGAATTTTGCCATTTCAGGTACAGGTTTTTAAACAAAAGTATACCATTGTAAACATTAACAAAATTAGTACAATTGCCTTTGTTTCTTATTTTGAGAAGCGTACTTTACAGATTATCTTATGGAGACACCTAGATATCAAAAAAAAAGCCTCTTCAGAAAAAGTCATCTGTTTTCTTTGGATCAAATGCAGGTACTTTAACAACTGTCTGAACTTAATGTAGTAGAGTTTGCTTTATGTGTAGTAACTCTTATCTAGTGTGAAACCAAAAACCCAAACCCGTTGCCATAAAGTTGATTCCAACTCATAGCGACCCTATAGGACAGGGTAGAACTGCCCCATAGGGTTTCCAAGGAGCGGCTGGTGGATTTGAACCGCCAACTTTTTGATTAGCAGCTGAATGCTTAACCACTGTGCCACCAGGGCTCCTATCTAGTGTGAAGTAGTGAGTCAAATGAATTTTATTGATAACTAGTACTTTTTCCCTTTTATTGTTAAAACTTTAACTGTTTTTGGCAAAAATATTTATGAAATTTATAGCACTTCTCTCAACTGTCTCCCTAGTTATACATATTTATCTTTTTAACCCTATCCTCAATCTGAGTGTTACTCTTTTTAATCATTATTGGTCTGATAGGTTAAAATAATCTGTTCAATTTCTGTCATCTATCTATGCTTGCTGTCTGCAGTAGCACTCCTAGTCTTTGTTTTTTAAACATTTTTACTAGCTAATCCTAGCTGATAACTAAAATATTTGCATTGTTCAAAAATTAAATATATGCGTATTAAAATACCTTGTGAAACTTCGTCACACCCTATTCCCATTCCATTCAGTTCTTCCCTCCCAGAGTTTTTTTATGCTGTATAAACATAATGCAAATACACATAGATTATTTTTCTAATCCCCTTTTGTTGTTGTTGTTGTTTTACACAAAACAGCACACTATACAGATTGTTTTGTTCTTTGCTTTTCTCCCTTAACATTATACTTTGGAAATCTTTTATGTGAGAAGAAACAATTACTCCTACATACAAAAAATTGTCTCACTGTCTTTTACCTTTGCTCTACTCTCATCCCAATGAAATACACATACTTTTCCCTAAATGCTGCTTAATACTTTGGCTTTGCCCAGACATTTTTTCATACATCTTTAACCTGATTTATAAGATTTGAGATTCAGACTGGCTATGAGCTGATTATAGGTTCTCTAGACATAGCATGGATTAAACAGGCTTTTGTGGGCTATACTAGAAACTAATCATTATAAATGGGGTTCTGAGTTCCAAATATGTTCATAAGTAAACTCTGAAGTTTTATAATGTCGTGGAGTTGCAGCATATACTCTGACTTTAGAATCTACCCATCACATGAACTGCAGTTGCACTTATAGAACATATTTTGCAAGTAAAATAAAGTATTTGCAGTTTATGTTGCTAAAGAATTAATTGTTGAAAGTGATCCATTTGTTTTATCAGTTTGGTTACCATTGTTGGTTTGGACTGTTTCATGGAGCCTCTGTATTTTAGAGTTTGCAATACTGCGAGACATTCATTATTCTTTTATAGGATACTGTATTTGTCAGCTTTCGTGAATTCTTTTCTAACTCATGGTTTATTCACGTGGTTTAAATACTTATTCTTCTCCAGGTTCTCCAGAGCTAGTTTTAGTAAGCCACGTAATACACCCTTGCCGCTTCTATGTTCGGAAGTATTCACAAATAAAAGATGCAACATTGTTGGAAAAGAAGGTGAATCAAATTTGCAGCAAGAGTTTACATGTCAATCCTTCAGATATTTTGGAGCTAGGTAATGAAATATTACTGCAAGTTAAAACATCAGTTTTATTTAAATATTGTAATGTTTGACCAACTCACATAGACGTTTTATAATATAGATGTTTTTTCCAAGCATAGAAGTTTTGGAATTATTTAACATAGGTTAAATTTTATTTTGGTAAGTTGGCTAAGGATTAAGATTGACCACTGGCACATTTTTAGAGAGTTGAATATACACAAAACCTCATTATAGAGTGAGATGAATTGTTTTTTAAATTACAAAACCCAGGACTGCCCCCTTTTCTGTAGGGAAACCTGTGCCTTTTAAGATGATACATCATAATTTGATTCCAGCCCCTTGCTCTCCACATATGGTGTTAAGGGTAGCATTGAACACTTAAATATTAAGATTCAAGAGGACTATGGCCTTTCAGCTATCCTGTTTTCACTAGTATATACAGAGAGGATTATACAGCATCCCTCTGTATGTCATCAGTGATCAACCCTTAACAAATTGGTCTCCAGTACACAGCTTAGGTGTTAATAGTGTAAGCTCTAAACTACCTGGGTTTTCTTCATAGTTCTTCTAATTCTACTATGTGGTTTGGGCTAGGATTTTAACTTCTTTTTGTCTCAATTTTCTTGTAGTTCAGGCCTCTTGCTTGTTCTTCTTTTTTCCTGGTGATTAATTTTTAGTCCATTTGGTTTTATGTAATCCGTCCATAAGGCCTTCCTCCATTTCTAAGTCCTTAGTTTATCTTCCCCTTCTCTGAAGTCCAGTATGTATTAATGAGTTACTTTGGCATTTCACATGCCGCTTTTCATTGTTTCTTTACCCTCACAGTATGTCTTCCTTTATGCTACCACAATATTTTACAAGCTTAAATATGTATATATCTATACATGTATATTTGTATGTACATGAGAATAGATAGCCTTTATTGTGGCAAATACAGTGTATTAATTCATTTGCCTGTCTCTTTTCCTTTCTTGACCTTTTTAATGGCAGGGTCATCTCATTCATCTTTGTTAGTATAGTTCATAAAACATAGGTCCTCAACAGGTAGCTGCTGACTTAGTATCTTTTGTGTATTTATCTCCCTGTTTAGCTCATAAGTTTCTGTATAACAGAAAACATCAAAATATTTTATTTGGGTAGGTTGACTACGGTTAAGATATCATTCTTATATCATTTAACATAGTACTATAAGACTTCTTAAGTAGTAGAACTAATGTACATGTACATGTTTGTAAATTAGAGCTCATTAAGTATTTCTCTCCTTAAACAGTGATATTGGTTTGTCTCATTATTTAGGTGCAAGAATATTTGTCAACAGCATTGAGAATGGAATGTGGTGTCGAGGAACTATCACTGAATTAATTCCAATAGAAAGTAAAGATATTAGAAAACCTGGTAGTCTAATCAAGTACTCAGTCTGTGAAGTTGCACTATTACAAATATTTATGGTAGATTTTGGAAATTCTGAGGTCTTAATTGTTCCAGGGTATGATATTTTATAATTACTGTGTGTTCCTTGCCTGCTTAGAGGCATTGTTGGGGCGGGGGGTTGGGGGGAGGGAGTGGTTTAAAAGAATAGAGGAAATTAGGAAGGGGTAGAGAGGAGTAATTTGTTTCTTCTTCACTTCCCAGACATGTGTTTTTTTATTATTGTTCTCTATATGGGTCTCACTAAATTAGTAAAATATTATCGTTTATCAGTGTTAATAGATGAGAAGCTTGGAAAAGGAGCTTTTTAATGTACTTCAGACTTCAGTCCTCTTATGTTGCTTTGAAGCAGGGAATAATGGGCAAAAATAGTCAAGGGCTTTAGGTATTAAAATCTTTGTGTCAGTCTTCTACGAGAATAAAAGAAGCCAAAAATGTTTCTGTAATAAGGACCAGCTTTAACTAATATTATGGTCACTTTATTTAATGGTCATAGCTTTTTAAATAAATAGATCTATATTTTTGGGGTCATCATTCCCTTTAAGTTTAAACTGAATAGGTATATGAAAGACAGTTCAAATAAAGGTATCTGAGATTTATTTAATTCAATGGTTAATAACAGTATCTTGGTTGCTAACAGAAACTAGATTAAGTCTATATAGGTCCCTAGGTGACAAAATCGGTTTGTGCTTGACGGCTAACCTAAAGGTTGATGGTTCAAACCCACCCAGTGGTACTCCAGAAAAAAAAGCCCGGTGATTTGCTTCCGTTAACTTTGTGGAGCAGTTCTACTCTGTAACACATGGGGTCGCCATAAGTTGGAATCAATTCAGTGGCAGCTAACAACAGTAAGGAAATATGAATTAGAATATAACTTTCTAGAAGATTTAAGGAGAGTGTCTTTAGAAATGCATACCTTTTATGGGGAAGGAGAGTTCAAACTTGAAACATTATTTTCAATAAATATTACCTGAATTCCTCCTAGAGTTGGTGATACCCATGTGAGAAAAGAACACATTGCTGAGCACCATATAGTACTAAGTGATCTATGTCTGGTTCTAAGAAAGCCTGAATCCTGTTTTGAAGGGCTGCTGAAAGACATCCAGCCATTTGCACAACCATGCTCACTGAAAGACATTGTTCCACCAAGTTCAGTAAGTACAACTTAAATTACTGCCTCTTTGGAGGCTAAATATTCTGACTTAAGCTACATGTGTTGCTAACCAGATTGCTGCGTTTATCTTCAAAGCACCAGTTCTCCTGTTGTTGTTGTAAGGTGCCCTCGAGGCGGTTCTGACTCATAGCGACTCTGTGCAACAGAGTGAAACACTACTCAGTCCTGCGCCAGCCTCCCAGTTGTCTTTATGCTTAAGCCCATCGTTGCAGCCACTGTGTCAGTCTGTCTCGTTGAGAGTCTTGCTCTTTTTTTGCTGACCCTATACTTTACCAAGCATGATATCCTTCTCTGGGGACTAGTCCCTCCTAATAACATGTCCAAAGTATGAGACTAAATCTCACCATCCTTCCTTCTAAGGAGCATTCTGGCTGTACTTCTTCCAAGACAGATTTGTTGGTTCTTCTAGCAATCCATGGTATAGTCAGTATTCTTTGCCAACACCATAATTCAAAGGCATCAGTTCTTCAGTATTCCTTATTCATTGTCCAGCTTTTACATGTATATGAGGCGATTGAAAACACCATGGCTCGGGTCAGGCGCACCCTTAGTCCTAAAAGTTTCATCTTTGCTTTTTAACACTTTAAAGAAATCTTTTGCAGGATATTTGCTCAATGCAACGCGTTGTTTGATTTCTTGACTGCTGCTTCCATGGGCGTTGATTGTGGATCCAAGTAAAATGAAACCCTTTACCACTTCAGTCTTTTCTCTTATTTATCATGATGTTGCTTATTGGTCCAGTTGTGAGGATTTTTGTTTTATGTTGAGGTGTAATCCATACTGAAGGCTGTGGTGTTTGATCTTCATCAGTCAGTGCTTCAAGTGGCCTCGTCACTTACAGCAAGCAAGGTTGTGTCATACGCATATTGCTGGTTGTTATTAATATGCTATTAGTGCCAATAAAAAAGGAAATGAACTTTAACTTCCACAATTGGATATATTCTTAATGGGAAATTAAGTTGGATAAACAAATATCAACATAATTGGTAGGTGAAATTTTCAAGTAAAGTACTAAATTTTGGAGTCAAATAGATGTAAAGAAATAAATATATGGTGTGGTGTATGTTTCTATATATTTCTTCCCTATTTTCATGGCACTTTGTTCATTATTCAGTTTATGGCTCATATTGCATTCTTTCCTGTATCATTTATGAATATCTTTCCCTCAGCAAGATTGAAAACTAGGAGAGAGGAATTACATGTAAGAATTATGTGTTAAGCAGTTATATTATTATAAGGTCTGTGGAAGCAGGCCACTACTCATCTATCAGTTTGTTGTTCCGTGGTGACTTGTGTGTTGCTATGATGCTGGAAGCTTTGCCACTGGCATTTGAAATACCAGCAGGGTCACCCATGGTGGACAGGTTTCAGTGGGGCTTCTAGACTAAGAAAGACTAAGAAGGATCTGGCAGTTTTACTTCTGAAAAAATTGGCCAGTGTAAACCTTATGAATAGCCTCGGAACATTGTCTGATATAGTGCTGGAAGATGAGCCTCTCAGGTTGGAAGGCACTCAAAATATGACTGGGAAAGAGTTGCCACCTCTAAGGAGAGTTGAACTTAATGATGTGGATGGAATCAAGCTTTTGGGACCTTCATTTGCTGATGTGACATGATTTAAAATGAGAAGAAACAGCTGTAAACATCCATTAATAATTGGAATGTGGAATGTACCAAGTATGAATCTAGAAGAATTGGAAGCTGTCGTAAATGAAATGGAACACATAAACATCAATATCCTAGGCATTAGTGAGCTGAAATGGACTACTATTGGCCATTTTGAATAGGACAGTTATATGGTCTACTATGCCAGGAATGACAAATAGAAGAGGAATGGCATCACATTCATTGTCAAAAAGAACATTTCAAGATCTATCCTGAAGTACAGCTCTGTCAGTGATAGGATAATATCTATGTGCCTACAAGGAAGACTAGTTAATACAACTATTGTTTAAATTTACGCACCAACCACTAATGCCAAAGATGAAGAAATTTAAGATTTTTACCGACTTCTGAAATCTGAAATTGATCAAACATGCAGTTAAGATACATTGATAATTACTGGTGATTGGAATGTGAAACTTGAAAACAAAGAACAAGGATCAGTAGTTGGAAAATATGAGATATTTCAGTGAACTCATGAGGTGCTCAGTTGTCTATGCCAAGAAATTTGGAAGACAGCTGCCTGGGTGGCCTACTGGAAGAGATCCATATCTGTGCCCATTCTAAAGAAAGGTGATCCAACAGAATGTGGAAATTATCCAACAATATCATTAATACCACACAAGTAAAATTTTGCTGAAGATCTTTCAAAAGCCGTTGCAGCAGTACATCAACAGGGAACTGCCAGAAATTCAAGCCAGATTCAGAAGAGGGCATGGAATGAGGAGTATCATTGCTGATGTCAGATGGATCTTGGGTGAAAGCAGAGAATACCAGAAAGATGTTTACCTGTGATTATGCAAACATGTTCGACTGTGTGGATCATAACAAATTATGGATAACTTTGTGAAGAATGAGAATTCCAGAACACTTGATTATGCTCCGCAGGAACCTGTACAAAGACCAAAAGGCAGGTGTTTGAACAGAACAAGGAGATGCATGCTTTAAACTCAAGAAAGATGTGCGTCAGGGTTGTATCCTTTCACTGTACTTACTCATCTGTATCCTGAGCAAATAATCCGAGAATCTGGTCTGTATGAAGAACACAGCATCAGAATTGGAGGAAGACTCATTAACAACCTGCGTTATGCAGATGACACAACCTTGCTTGCTGAAAGTGAAGAGGACTTGAAGCACCTACTGATGAAGATTAAAAAAAGTACAGCCTTCAGTATGGATTGCACCTCAACATAAAGAAGACAAAAATCTTCATTACTAAGCTACATCATGATAAACAGAGAAAAGATTGAAGTTGTCAAGGATTTCATTGTACTTAGATCCACAGTCAACGCCCGTGGAAGCAGCAGTCAAGAAATCAAACCACGTATTGCATTGGGCAAATCTGCTTCAAAAGACCTCTTTAAAGCATTAAAAAGCAAAGATGTCACTTTGAGGACTAAGGTGCACCTGATCCAAGCCATGGTGTTTTCAGTCGCCTCATATGAATGCAAAAGCTGGACAATGAATAAGGAAGACCGAAGAAGAATTGATGCCTTTGAATTACGGTGTTGGCGAAAAATATTGAATATACGATAGATTGCCAGAAGAACAAACATATCTGTCTTAGAAGAAGTACAACCAGAATGCTCCTTAGAAGCAAAGATGGTGAGACTTTGTCTCACTTACTTTGGACATGTTATCAAGAGGGATCAGTCCCTGGAGAAGGAAATCGTGCTCAGTAAAGTTGAGGGTAAGTGAAAAAGAGGAAGTTCCTCAATGAGATGGATTGACACAATGGCTGTAGCAATGGGCTCAAGCATAACAACGATTGTGAGGATAGTGCAGGACGGGGCAGTGTTTCATTCTCTTATACATAGGGTCTCTATGAGTCAGAACCCACTTGATGGCACCTAATAGCAACACAGAAGCAGGGAGTCTATGTCTCATCATTAGACTCCCAGCACTTAAATCATCTGTCACATAGTAGACATTCAACAAATATTTGAAAGAATGAATAAATGAATGAATAAAAAATTAGAAGGAAACCCATAAAAAACATAAGCAGTCGTGTATTCCTCAAGATGCTGAGATTGTTTCTTTTTTTAATTTTGCTTTTATACTTTTATTTGGAAAGGCGCCCTGGTGGTGCAGTGGTTTAGCCTTCGACTGCTCACCAAAAAGTCGGCAGTTGGAAGCAACCAGCCTTTCCACAGAAGAAAAGACCTGGCAGTTACAGCCTAGGAAATCCTATGGAGCAGTTCTACTCTGTCTTATAGGGTCGCTAGGAGTCGGAATCGCCTCAACAGCGTACAACAACATACTTTTCTGCTTTTTCTATACTGAGTAGGTTTTACTTTTATAGTCATAAAAACATTAGGTATTTTTTTTTAAGGAGTGTGTAGTTAACCTTGAAATTTACATCAAGTATGGATACTTAAAAGTTTGACTTTTCAAACGATCAGTGTTTAAAATTATTTTTTTATATGGGTGAATATTTTCCTTATTGTTAAAGGAGCATGTCCTGCATATACTTCCTATATTGGTAGTAATAGAAGTTAGATAAACTGCTGATGAGTGTAAATATCTTAATTTATTATAGGGCTTCCACTATGCTTTAAACATTATCTTTTGAATTGTCATCTTTAAGTAGAAAATATGTGTGTAATACTTGTTTCTTTTATTTAAAAATTTTTAATAATCATTTTATTAATATTCTAAAGCAAAACTAAGTTCTACAGTGAAACTGCTTATGGATACTTTGAGAATATGTTTATAAAACCAAAGCATGTTCCACACATTGTGCATACTTAAAGACTGTCCTTGGGTTTGTGACCCCAGATTTTTTCTTAATGTCTTAATGTCCATGGTTTGTTCAGTGCCTTTGCTCAGTTTCAGACTGTGGCTTGTATAAAGCTAAATCCAGAGTATTGTGACATTAGAGCTAATTATAATTACTAAATCCTTTTGAATTTTACTTTTTTCAATAGAATAAAGGCTGGGGAGAGGAAGCTAAAGTGGAATTTTTGAAAATGGTAAATAACAAGGCTGTTTTAATGAAAGTTTTTAGAGAAGAAGATGGTGTGCTCATTGTAGATCTGCAGAAGCCACCAACCAATAAAATAAGCAGTGATATGCCGGTGTCTCTCAGAGATGCATTAGTTTTTATGGAACTAGCAAGGTAGGTAACTTATTAAAACTTACTTATTCTTTGATATTATCACTATAAATTGGAATAGCAGATTTTGCCTTTAAAAACTATTGCCCTAAGAGGTTTAAAACATTGCTATGAGGGTAGATACTAAGTACAGTTTTTGCCTATGCGAACTGCATCCAAATAATGTGGATCGAGGAAATAGAGAAATTAAGGTAGTTCAGCATAGAAAATACTTAAAAATATTTTTGGGCTCTTGGTAAACAGTTTCTGATTTAAATTTCTAGCCTTAAGAATGAGTTCGTGGTCACCATTCTGTATTTAAAATATTAATCTAGAATAGATAGTAAAAATGTTTCCTTCTCATCTCTGATTAACAAAGTATGGTGACTAAGTAACGCAACTCATTTGTTGGCTTGAGATAATGGAAGATCCTGGAAATTACCCAAATAGGTTCTTTTCTAGAGAAATAAAGAGTCTTGGAGCTGGAAGAAACCCTACAGATCCATCAGCTGGCCTAATTGAATACTACCATAGACCATGGTGGTGCAGTAGTTAAGTGCTTGGCTGCTAACCGAAAGGTCAGTGGTTCGAACCCACCAGCCACTCCGCAGGAAACCCTGTGGGGCAGTTCTGCTGTGTCCTATAGGGTCGCTATGAGTCGAAATTGACTGGAAGGCAGTGTTTGTTTGTTTGTTTTTATAGACCACTGCTACCAAATTCAACTGAAAGTTAGAAATAGCTATGAATCTGAGTATGACATATAGGCCTGACTTTAAAATGTCCTGACACAAAGATTAATCACTGAGTTTTGAGACCTCACATCTACTTGATCTACTTTGATAACTGAATACAATACCAAGAAATGTATAAGTTAGAACTTGGAAGGGGAGTATTTTTAGTAGATAAATTAGGATATGGGCAATTCTTTCCTTCAGATCAACTCAGAGAGAAGAGGGTCTTTAAGAAAATGGCTTTTGCTTATGCTTTAATTATGCTTTTAATTAGGTTTAGGTCACAATCACCAAGAAGCCACGCTGAAAACAATATGACTTTACACTATAATCCACCTATTTTGCCTAAAGAAATGACAGATGTATCAGTTATGGTTTGTCATATAAATAGTCCTACTGATTTCTACCTTCAGTTGGTAAGTACATAGTGTTCCTTTGAGATGAAGTAAGTTTTTAGATTTTAAGTAGAAATATATAATGGAAGTGAGTACCCAGTATGAATTTTAGTTAGAGCAAACAAACCACAGTCAGCCTTCTATACAATTAAATTCTTTTTTAAATTTTATTGTGGTAAAATTTATGTAACAAAGCATTTGCCATTTTAACAATTTTTAAGTGGGCAATTCAGTGACATTGATTTACATTCACCATATTTTGCAACCATCACCACTGTCCATTTGCAAAAGTTTCTCCTCACCCCAGACAGTGATTCAGTGTGCCTTAAGCGATAACTCCCCACCCTTAACCCTATGGTAACTACAAATAAACTTTGGTCTGTATTTATTTGTCTGCTCTAGAAATTTCATGTAAGTGGGATCCTACAATATTTACCCTTTTGCATCTGACTTATTTTACTCAGCATAATGTTTTCAAGGTTCATCCATGCTGTAGCATTTATCAGAACTGCATTTCTCCTTATGGTTGAATAATATTCCATTGTATGAATATGAAACTCGTTTATCCTTTCTTCTATTGATGACACTTGGGTTGTTTCCACCTTTTGGCTATTGGAAATATTGCTTCAATGAACATTATGTACGAGTATCTGTTTGAGGCCCTGCTTTCAAGTCTTTTGTGTATATGTCTAGGAGTGGAATTGCTGGCTCATATGGTAATTCTACATTTACCTTTTTAAGGAACCGCCAAACTCTTTTCAACAGCAACTGCACCATTTTACATTCCTACCAACAATGGATGAGGGTTCCAATTTATCCACATCTTCACTTGTTGTTGTTATGTGCCGTCGAGTCAGTTCCAATTCATAGCAACCCTGTGTACAACAGAACAAAACACCACCCAGTCCTGTGCCATCCTCACAGTCATTGCTATGTTTGAGCCCATTGTTGCAGCCACTTGTCAGTCCATCTCGTTGAGGATCTTCCTCTTTTTCGCTCATCCTCAACTTTACCGAGCATAATATCCTTCTCTAGGGACTGGTGCGTCCTCATAACACATCCAAAGTACGTGAGACAAATCTTACCATCCTTGCTTCCAGGAACATTCTGGCTGTACTTCTTCCAAGACAGATTTGTTTGTTCTTCTGGCAGTCCATGGTATATTCAACATTCTTCGCCAACACCATAATTCAAAGGCGTCAATTCTCCTTCAGTCTTCCTTATTCGTTGTCCAGCTTTTGCATGCATATGAGGTGATTGAAAACACCGTGCCATGGGTGAGGCGCACCTTTGTCCTCAAACTGACATTTTTGCTTTTTAACACTTTAAGAGGTCTTGTGCAGCAGATTTGCCCAATGCAGTGCGTCGTTTGATTTCTTGACTGCTGTGTCCATGGGCGTTGATTGTGGATCCAAGTAAAATGAAATTCTTCACAACTACAATATTTTCTCTGTTTATCGTGATCCTTGCTAACACTTGTTATTTTCTGTTTTTCTGGTAATAGCCATCTTGTGTTGGGAAGTGGTATCTGAACAACAGTTTTGATTTGCATTTCTCTAATGACTAATGAAGTTGAGTATCTTTTCATGTGCTTACTGGCCATTTGTGTATCTTCTTCGGAGAAATGTCTATGCAAATCTTTTGCCCAATTTTTAATTGGGTTTATCTTTTTGTTGTTGAGTTGTATGTGTTCCTTACATATCCTGGATATTAAACCCTTTTCAGATATATGATTCCCAAATATTTTCTCCCATTCTGTACATTATCTCTTCAATTTCTGATAAAGTCCTCTGATAAACTAAAGTTTTTAATTTTAAAGTCCCTGTTTTAATTACCTAGTGCTGCTGTAACAGAAATACCACAAATGGGTGGCTTTAAAGAAGAGAAATGTATTTTCTCACAGTACAGGAGGCTAGATGTCCAAATTCAGGGCACTAGGTATAGAGGAAGGCTCTCTTTCTCTGTCAGTTCTGGAAGAAGATCTTTGTTTCTTTCTGCTTTTGTAGGTCTGATGTTCCTCACTTCCTTAGCAATATTCATGTGGCATCTATCTTCCCCCGTTTGAGCTTCTTTCTGTGTCTAATCTGCTCCTTTTATACTTCAGGTGATTAGGCTTAGGATACAAACTACAGTGATATGGCCTCGTTAACACAATAAAGAAAACCCTATTTCAAATAGGATTACATCCACATGTTGTAGGGATTAGGATTCCAGTACATATTTTGGAGGGACACAGTTCAATGCATAATAGTTCTGTTTATTTTGCCTATTGTTGCTCATGCTTTTGATGCCATATGTAAGAATCAGTAGTCAAAAACTTAAGATTTTGAAAGTTTACCCCCTATGTTTTCTTCTAAACTTTTTTTTTTTAATTGTGCTTTAGGTGAAGGTTTACAGAGCAAATTGTTGTTTTTATTAGGTGCCGTCGAGTCGATTCCGATTCAGCAACCCTGTGTACAACAGAATGAAACACTGCCCAGTCGTGCACCATCCTCACAGTCATTGCTAAGTTTTGGCCCATTGTTGCAGCCCGTCTGTCAGTCCATCTCATTGAGGGCCTTCCTCTTTTTCGCTTACCCTCAACTTCACCAAGCATGATGTCCTTCTCCAGGGATTGGTCCCTCCTGATAACTTTCCAAAGTATGTGAGACAAAGTATCGCCATCCTTGCTTCTAAGAAGCATTCTGGCTGTACTTCTTCCAAAACAGATTTGTTTGTTCTGGCAATCTATAGTATATTCAGTATTCTTCGCCAACACCATAATTCAAAGGCATCAATTCTTCTTTGGTCTTCTTATTCATTGTCCAGGTTTTGCATGCCTATGAGGTGATTGAAAACACCATGGTTTGGGTAGGGCGCACCTTAGTCCTTAAAGCTTCATCTTTGCTTTTTAACACTTTAAAGAGATCTTTTGCTGCACGTGTGCCCAATGCAATGAGATGTTTGATTCTTGACTGCTGCTTCCATGGGCCTTGATTGTGGATCCAAGTAAAATGAAACCCTTGACAACTTCAGTTTTGTCTCCGTTTATCATGATGTTGCTTATTGGTCCAGTTTTGAGGATTTTTGTTTTATGTTGAGGTGTAATCCATACTGAAGGCTGTAGTCTTTTTTGTTTTATTTTATTGTACTTTAGGTGAAGGTTTACAAAACAAATAGTTTCTCATTAAACAGTCAGTCAGTACACATGTTTTATGACATTGGTTTACAACTCCACTATATGTCAACACTCTCCCTTCTCGACCTTTTTTTTTTTTTTTTGTGAAAGTATATATAGCCAAAGATACACCATTTCAAAAATTTCTACACGCACAATTCAGCAGCATCAATTACGTTCTTCCATTTGTGCTGCTATTCTCACTTTAGATGAAGGCTTACAGAACAAAATAGTTTCTCATTAAGCAGTTAGTACAGATGTTGCCCTATGACAGTGCTGAACATCCCCACTACATGTCAACACTGTCCTTACTCAACCTTGGGTTCCCTATCACCAGCTTTCCTGTCCCCTTCTGCCTTGTAGTCCTTGTCCCTGGACTGCTGTGCCTCATTAGTACCGTTTTGTTTTATGGGGCTGTCCACTCTCTGGCTGAACGGTGGACCTCGGAAGTGACTTCACCGCTGAGTTAAAAGGGTGTCTGGGGGCCATACTCTCAGGGTTTCTCTAGTCTCTTTCAGGCCAGTACATCTGGTCTTTTTTTGTGTGTGTTAGAATTTTGTTCTACATCCTTCTCCAGCTCTGTCTAGAACCCTCTGTTGTGATCCCGGTCAGAGCAGTGAGTGGTGGTAGCTGGGCACCATCTAACAGTAGTGCACTCAGTCTTGTGGAGGCCTTGGTAGCTGTGGTCCATTAGTCCTTTGGACTAATCTTTTCCTTTTATCGTGTTCTCTTCATTCTCCCTTGCTCCTGAAGGGGCGAGACCAGTGGAGTATCTTAGATGGCTGCTCACAGGCTTTTAAGACCCCAGCTGCTACTCACCAAGGTAGAATGTAGAACATTGTCTTCATAAACTGTTTTGCCATTCGAGCTAGATGCTCCCCAAGACCGTGGTCCCCACAGCCCTCCACCCAGCAGTTCAGTCCCTCAGGGAATTTGGATGTGTCTTTGGAGCTTCCATGACCTTTTCTTGTACAAGTTGTGCTGGCTTCCCCAGTATTGTTTACTGTCTCACCTGAAGGCTGTAGTCTTTGATCTTCATCAGTAAGTGCTTCAAGTCCCCTTCACTTCCTGCAAGCAAGGTTGTGTCATCTCCATAACGCAAGTTGTTAATGAGTCTTCCTCCAATCCTGATGCTGGGTTGTTCTGCGTACAGTCCAACTTCTTGGATTATTTGCTCAGCATACAGATTGAATAAGTATGGTGAAAAGGTACAACCTTGATGCCCACCTTTCCTGACTTTAAACCATACGGTATCCCCTTGTTCTGTTGTAACAACTACCTCTTGGTCTAAGTACAGGTTCCTCAGGAGCACAGTGAAGTGTTGTAGAATTTCCATTCCTCGCAGAGTTATCCATAATTTGTTAATGATCCACACAGTCAAATGCCTTTGCGTAGTTAATAAAACACAGGTAAACATCTTTCTGGTATTCTCTGCTTTCAGCCATGATCTGACATAAGCAGTGATCTCTCTTGTTCTGCGTCCTCTTCTGAATCTGGCTTGAATTTCTGACGGTTTACTTTCTCAAACAATTAATACACATATTCTTTTGTAACATTGGTTGCCAACCCTGCAGCGTGCCAACACTCTCCCCTTCTCAACCTTGGGTTCCCCACTTCCAGTCTTCCAGCTTTCCTGTCCCCTCCTACCTTCTAGTCCTTGCCCCTGGGCTGGTGTGCACATTTAGTCTCGTATACATGGTTGAGCTACATGTATTATTGTTTGTTTTATAAGCCTCTCTATTCTTTGGCTGAACCATGAACCTCAGGAGTGACTTCAGTACTGAGCTAAAAGGATATCTGGGACCATACTCTCAGAGTTTCTCTAGTCTCTGTCAGACCGTAAGTCTGATCTTTTCTTATGAGT